AGTTCACTTTAGAACCCAGGCGATATTCTGCCAACTTACGCTAAAGCGGTGCCAGTATGCGGAAGCTCAGACAACCATCACTATGAATTCTCAATACTATTGGCTCTCCTTACCAGGGTTGTAAAATAATTGGTGCACATTGTTGTCCAATTACCTTCCTAAATGGTGACGTACGCACGAGCTGACGTGTGAGGCCTGCATTCACGTGCGCACCATAGTTCCCTCACGTGACCAGTCAATATGAGATCGTGCACTCGGGACGCGTAGTGGGGTTGAACCGCACGGAGAGGTCTATGCACAGTTTTGATTCGCTCATCGCTGTGAGCCAATCCTACCGCGATGTTTTCAACCTTGGCTTCTTGCCTCATTTCAGACTCGCTGATCGGACATGGAGGCGTAGTCACGAGTCCTATCACTCCATCCACGCGGACTTTAACTCAACACCGCAACTTATCAAGTCTCTGTCTTGTGTGAACGTAGACGATACTGAAGAACAGGAAGGAGGTGAACAAATGTCTATTTCTCAAAGGTGAGGCATTGTCGCACTGATTATGTATTCAACACTTTGGTTTATGCAAGTAATCAACAGATATTTGCATCGCTTCACATTTCAAATGTTTTAATGGCATGACGATGTACTTTTAACACTCGGTTCTTCGTTGCTGTTTCTGGGTTAATTAAAACTACTTTCCTAAAAGTTTATACGAGGATAAGGACGTCCCATTTTGTGACCGTTCTACCGTCTTTAAGTTGTATTATGTGAATGAGGTTTAAAATGCGCGTTGTATGGCGTCAGAGGGACCTTTCAGTGTCGCTGGCTAGTGCTTCATTTCATATTTCTCACAACTCACCACCAATTTTATGCTTTGGCTTCACAAAATTTATCACCTGAACTGAGGTTTAGCTTGTCGTCAGCACATTCTTGTCACTCTGTGTCACTTTTGATTGAGTCATTTGCTATGGTTTAGTTACCTCTCCAATTATTTATACTCCGCTAGGATTGCCCAAATCCAGGAGAACAGTGAGCAATGGAAGAGACGGAGCCAGGTCCGCATTGAGAACGAGGTCACACCCCTGAAGAGCGTCAACCAGATCCGCAACGATCTCGCTGTGAGTCAGCAGCAGTGGCGCAAACGCGTGGTCCCTCAGGAGAGCGATACCGTCAAGCGGATTTCCTGTAATCCTCCACTCTCTTAATGCCAGCTTTAAAAGCAAGCTCACCTCTTAGCAATTGGCTGTTAGATTAACACACTGTCAATCAGCTTTGTTGATGAGTTTACCATGCTAAGAAGAACAGCTTTTCTACTCCAAGCGTTGCTAGAACGCTGTCAATGTTTAGCTTGGGTCACCGTCCTCCCCTCTCTATCTCCATACTCTCGCATATCAAATAGGATGGAGTCTATTGTTTCCAAGCCTTGTTTTATACGTTTCCCACCGTTTCAGGCTCAGAAGAGGTGATTTTTCGGCGAAATTTATTAACAGAAAGTCAACGATGTCACCCTTTTCATGAGTTTACGGC